GGCCACTTGGCATAGCGACTCCTCATCAGTGGGGATGGATTATTTATGTCTGTGGCTCGTTAGAAAGCTGCCTCAAGAGACCTTATCAGTGGTCCAGATGCTATGACCTCCAGCAGAAAGCAGGAGGACCACCGGGGAGGGACATCCGGCTCAAAGTTGGCAATGTTTTCTTCTCTTTCTTCTATTTTCTGTAAAGGTGATATTCATTCTTCCATTCGCTCATCCACCGAGCATTTCTTCACTAGCAGTTAGGTACCAGGACTTGCGGTAGACATTAGGAAATGAAAGATACCGCCACCCGAAAATGAATCAGTAGAAATAAGATCATAACTGATAGTTTAGAAGTTTTGAAGAACAAAGCAACTACTTGAATAGGGAGGGAAAAGCTTTTCTAAATAGCTCTGGGTCAAGGAAAGAATGTAAACCTTAATAATGGACCACTTAGAAACTTAACAGTGACACTCAATGTAAGACACAAAATGTAGCCAAAATTGTACTTAAAGTTTTTTAGCCTTCAAATCTTTCAATGTTTAATGAAGGGGAATGGGAATAAATGAATGGAACTGTAAACTCAGCAGCTTTGAAAATGGCAGTATGTGATAGCAGCAGACAGTTGGTAGACACTCCTGGTGTGGTGGGCAAGTGCTGTGCGTGGATTAACTCATTTAATTCTAACAATGCCGCCATTATTTGGAACTATTATTACCACTCATTTTTCAGAGAAGAAATTGAAGCAGAGGGAGATAAGATAATGTATTCAAATGTTATAGTTTGCAATTATGAATGCAAAATCAGAACTTGGCCGTCTGACTCTAGAATTCATATTCCTAACCAGTAAGTAAGACAAATACAAGTAAGTAATGCTAATGCACATATGTCGGGGGACAGGCGGCAAAAGGAGCAGTTAATAAAGTAGGCTAGAACTGGGTGGAATTGATAAATACACCCGTGATCTGGCTCTTTGAAATCTCAGAACGATAGCATAGACAATAAAGAGAAGAACTTCTGGAAAACAATAAAGAGAGAGACCACCTAACGGTATTGTACAGAAAAAGAACAAAAGCTTAGTATCGTCCTCGATAAGGTGTGCAGCATGAGCATATTGAGAAGAACACCGCACAGGGTTCCAAGGAAAATACAAGTTACAAAAGTTAGCTTGAGAAGAGAGAGAAAACCATCTGTGAGGTCAGGATGTAGAGAAGGGAAGCGATACAGCTGGGGAAAGCCGAGGAGTGGGCAGGTCTCCACCATCATGCCTTTATTCCACACTGCTCTGAAAGTTCTAAGTGTGGAAGTAAGGTGAGGGGGAAGAGACGTAGCTGTCAGAAAAAAGAAAACATTATTTGGGACGGTGAAGTTCCATCTGGAAAACTCACAAAAAACTAGTAGGAGTCTGAGCTTGTGTTGGTTGGGGCTCTCTAGAGGAACAGATTCAGTAGGATATATGTATATTAGGGGATGTATTAGGTAGGCTTGCAGAATCAGAGAGGTAGAGGAGTCCATCATGGCCGCCTGCATGCCGGAAAACCAGAGGGTCCAGTAGCTGCTCAACCCAAGAAACTGGAAGCCTCAGAAGAAAAGTCAAAAATACAGGAACATTCCAAGGTCAAAGGCCCAGAAGCTCCCTGGGAGCTGCTTGTATGATTGTGTAAGACGGCTGAAGAGACCGCGGTCTGATGTCTGCAGGTGGCAGGGGCAAAAGACGCTCCCATTCAAGCAGAATGGAGGTCTTCAGAATGCCCTGACTTCCTCTTTTGCTTCTCTTCCACCCCACACCCGGGGTGGGTCTTGCCCCCTGGCTTGCTGACCTGTGTGCCAGTCATCTCTGGAATCACCCTGCAGATGTGCCCATAACTGTGTTTCAGTTCTCTGCTAGGTGCTGTAATCCAGTGAAGCTGACGTACCAGGATGAATGGCCACCGAGCTAAAGAATGCTTACAAAATAAGTGCACCGAAATTCTACTGCTTTGTTATTTGTAAACAATGAGGAGAACAATAGACAGCATGTCAGTTCACAATAGCATAGAAAGAGAACCCCTCAGATTGTACTAAATGAGGAACACACAGGAACCCAGAAAAAAGGAATGACTAACGACGAGGGGGATAAAGTAAGATTCTAACAAGGGAACAGTCAGTTTCCGATGGAATTGCCCATCGTTGTAAAAATATCAGTTACCTTGAATTTTATTTCTAAATGTAAGATAGTTTTAATCAAGATCCCGGGGTTGTTTAGAAGGTATTGATGGCTTACATACAATTCAAATAAAAATTCCATTAGTATTTTTTAAATCTCGATAAACTGATTCTAAAGTTCACTTGGAAGAATCAACATGCAGGATGGCCAAGAAAATGTTTGAAATGAGGATAACGAAGGAGGACTCGCCCTGCCAAGATACGCATGTTATGAAGCTGCTATAATTAAAACCCCTCGTGCCATACTTTGAGGCGGATCAGTGGGACAAAACGTAAGGCCCAAAGACAAACTCCAGTGTGTATAATTATTGAACATATAATAAAGTTGGCATTTGCAGTCCACAGAAAAGGGGTAAGTTATTCAGTCAAGAATGCTGGGACCGTTGGTTACCTATTTGAAAAAAAACATGGCAAGGGAGATGGTCATTTCACATCAGATTCCAAGAAATTACATATGCATTAAAGAGGAACTTGGTCCATATAAAAGCAAAAGTGGAATATTTATATTATTTGCCTGACTTTGGGACATGAAGAAGGCCTTTTGAAGTATAGTTGGATTAAGTTTTCTCTGTGTAGTTTTTTCATATAGTGATCTAAAAATTATATATGGTGTTTCTGTTCTATTTTCACTCTTAACTGTTAACACACATTCCAATGTATAATGCCTTGTATGTAGTTTTTAACAGTCTATAATCTCTTGAGGAATATGACTCAGTGCATTTCAATTTTATAGGTCTCTTCCAGCTCGCATCTTATGACTCAGATTTTTTCTTTTAGCTTTTCTTTCTTTCTTCCTTTCTTTCGTCTCTTTTAAAATTTTATATTTATGGGAAATATTGAACATGTTTAAAAATAGATTTGTATAATGAACCCATACGCTTCCATCACTCAGGTTCAGTAATGACCTATCATGATCAAAGTTGTTCATTAACAGCCCTCCCTAGTGTACTGAATTATTCCGACTTGAATTCTTTTATTCATAAAGATGTAGGTGGATCCTCAATGATAAGGATTCTATTTTTAAAACCACAGTGCCATTTTCATGCCAAAAAGTCTATTACCTAATATCACTAACTTCTTTATGTCATAAAAACTGAGTATATCTATTTCCCTGACACATAGCCTCATTTAAAAAAAATTATCTTTAAATTTTTTATTGATATGTATTTATAGTACATAATGATTATTTTCCTTTTGGGGAATTGATACATGTAATAGCACACTTTAATTTATTTTTCATCCTCTTCCTTTCCCTCCTTCCCCTTTCTCTCCCTCTCCTGATCCCCTTTCTTTTTGAAAAAGATCTATCTATGCTCTCTATTATCTGTCTTTTATTTTGTTCTTTATATTTTGGGTTTCTCCTGTCAGAGAGATCATGTGGTATTTTAAGTTTGTGTGTCTGATTGATTTCACTTAAGCTTATTGTCTCCAGGTGCATCCATTTTCCTAAAAATCACTCAAGTTTATTCTTTGTGGCAGAATAGAGCCCCATTGTGTGTAAATAGCACTTTTCTTTACCCATGCATCTATCGATGGACATACAAAACCGCATAATGTTTTAAATTACTGGCTTATTCAAATTAGGATTCAAGCAAGATCTACACATTGCATTTGTTGACACGTTTTTTAAATTTGATTGAATATATGTTTCTCCTCTCATTTTCACCCTCTTGCAGTTGATTTGTTGGAGAAATCATGTTGGTTGCTTTAGTAGTGTCTATATTCTGAGGTTTTGGGGGTAAGTGTGTTTGGTGAGTGCCCCTCCCCGTGATGACATTTAGTATATTCCTCTGCCACACATATTTTCTGTAAATTCGTAGTTGTAGGGAGAGGCTTGAACCACTTTAGACTGGGTTATTTGGCAAGAGTGCTTCCTAGATGGTAGTGTGAGCTTGTGCGAAAGGGTGCAGTGTCATTTGCGGATGTCAGCAGCTACTGACGATTGTGGTTCTAATCCACTGTACCACTAGGGATGGCCTTGAGGTTTCCTGTTCTATTTTAATTTACTGAAGATGTCCTTTAGAAAGGCTCTGAGGTGGTCCCCAAACCATGGTGTCTGCCCTCTAACAACCAGTAGTCTAAAGATTGCAAAAAGGAAATTTGAACAGTAACTGTACAAGGATCTTGAACAACAAAAATAATTTCATTTTGTATATTTTCCCCGACTGTGCCTTTCTCCAGCTGACAAAATCCTCCAGTAGTGGAGCCATACCATAGGTGCATTAAACTCACTTGAACCAAATACACATTTATATGTATTGGGCTGCGAATGACTAATGTAACAGGGTAAACATTGTGGCCTGTTTCTTTCATTCTTTCACTTAACTGACTGATGGCGTGTGCGCACACACACGCACACACGCGCACACACACACACACGCCATTCCTGCTTACTGTGTTTCTACGTTCATTCATCTCATGTTATGAAGTGCGGCTCTGACATCTCAAGATGCATACTTCTTACGCACTAAGAACCTAAACAGAAACCAGCTGTTGCATCTGGTGCCTGATCTAAGAAAGGACATTCTATTTCCAAGCTGATAGAAGACCAGGGATCTTCAAGGAAGGGTACTTTGGAGCATATGTGATCTTTTGGACCTTGTTTAACTTTAGAAATTTAATGCCTGTGCAAGATACAACATAGTTGGACCCAAGGGTATGTCTTCAACACAGGGCAGGAGGCAGAAGCTGAAGCTGCTGATCATCACATAAAGATTTGGTGAAGCCCGTTTACTCAGCTCTTCCTCCCTGTTCTCCCTGCCCGCTCCCTTCTTCCCTCTCTCCTAACCTTGTTTTCTCTTTTGCAGTTTGCTGCTTTGTTGTGCACAAACGCTGCCATGAATTTGTCACATTCTCCTGCCCTGGAGCTGACAAGGGGCCAGCCTCTGACGTAAGTGATGGGCAGTGGTCACTCTCCTCTGTCCACAGTGAATGCAACCTTCGGGGTAGTGAGAGGGAGCCTGCTTAGACAAAATTATTTTGTTCCTGCTTTGGTCTGCCTTCCTGGAATTTTCCCTACTGGCTTTGTCTCTATTACTGGCCCTGCTGCCCACTTAGAATTGATTGCTGACCACAGCTTGCCTGAAAGCAATGGTGATACCTTCTGTGACTGAGTTTCTTTGACCCATGTGAGCCTTCTGCAGGTGGTCGTTTGCCGTTTTGTTGCAGATCAGGGTGGGAGGTCTGATACCGTAACACACTTAACACTCTGGAGATTGTCCTGGACAATTTGGCACTTGGAGTTAAGGACTTCAAGCGCTGTGGGACATTCGAAGCTTTTGTAGGTCTGCTTTCCAGTCCTACTCTCTGGTCCCTTCAGTACAGTTCCTTCTCTCGTCCTCAGGAAGTGGGCAGACAAGTTTTCTTGGAACTGCCTCCCTCCCTTATGCAGCTCTAAATGTTTTTGCACATCAAGGCTTGGATCTCAAGTGCAGCCAGGAGGGTCCTGTTTCCTGGGTTCTGTCTTTATCTGTCACATTTCCCTGTGGCTAACAGAAACTGAGTTCAAATTGGATTATCTGGAAAGGGAAATTGTTGGTGTTTGAAATGGAAAAACCCAAGGGTAGACCCAGCTTCGGGTATAATAATTCAGAGTGCTTAAATAAGGTCCTGGGGATCCTCCTTCTGCGTGTCTTGGCTCAGCTTTCCTCTGTATTAGTTTCATTTTCCAGAGGAGCACGATGGCAGAGGCGCCTTTCATTCTACATCTTATCATTACTGTAACCCCAGTGAAGAGACCTGAGATCTCCTTGGGCCAAGGTCACAGGTGACTAAGGGGTGGATTATGCTGATAACCTGGATCCTCACTGATAAGAGTTGACCTGGCTGGCCATTGACATCCTTATATGGTGTGAATGTTTGGTGGCCTCCCCTCCCTAGCATGTTTTAAAATCCTAACTTTTGGGAGATGGGGCTGATGGAGACCATTACGAAGCAGCCCTGAACAGGACTTAAATTATTAATTGGCTTTTCATGTTTACCTGTGAATCTGTCCAAGGCCTAGGCTTCTTGTCTGGAAGTGGTGGACTCATAGTAAGTGAACCTCTGTGAGTCAGTAATCCCTACTAAAACCTGTAGTGGTGATGAAGCTAGAAAGTCTCAAAGGATAAGACAAGATCACAGCCAAGGACACCTGGATCCATCTCAACTAGATAAAGACTATAGCCTCAGGCATCTCATTCTTGAATGCATTAACTTAATACCTTACCTGGAGAAGTCCTTGAGTGATTCGCCCTTCTTGAGTACTCCCCTCCCTTCTTCTGATAACCAAACAAGTATGAGCCAGCCAGAGAAGGTTTTGGTCTTAGCCCTAAGAGAATCTCGAATTCTGTGAGAGGGCTCTGATCCTCTTGGAGCCCTGAAGTCATTCCATTCACCTCTTTTTATTTAGCCTTTGCTGTACACTTGTTTGGGAGATTGCAAGCCTGATCAGTCCACAGTAACTAAGAGATATTATTAACCTGATATGGGGCCGCTGGGATGTGATCAGCTCCTGAGGGAGGAGCTTCATGAATGGGATTAGTGCCCTTATAAAAGAGACCCCTCAACCCTTCCACCACGTGAGATTATACCAAGAAAACAGCTGTGGTTGAGGAAGTGGGCCTTCACCAGATGCTGAATCTTCCAGTCTCTCAATTTTGGACTTCTCAACTGCTAGAACTGTAAGAAATAAATTTCTGCTATCTAAAAGCCATGCAACTTTTGACATTTTATTATAGGAGCCAAAATGGACTAAAAGAAGAAATTTTGGTATCAACACTAGTTGTCTCTAGCAACAGAATTTTAAGGATTAGTTTTCCGAATTGGTTCTGGGGCATCTGGACTTGAGGCGAGGTTCTCAGAAGGCTGTGTGTGTCCTTTGAACCAGCATCCAGTAATGGTGCTGATTCTCTGATGACCAGGATTGCTAGGCCCAGGAATCAAGGGTAGAAATGGAGTGGTGGCACCTACTATTTTCCCTATGTGCACATTTATTTTGGTCTCTCTTTCCCATGACTTTGTGTTCCACTGACCTAGAGGTTTTAGTGTTAAAGGGGGAAATTCCTCTGCCAGGAAACGTAATAGTGGTTCTGTTCAACTGGAAGTTGAGGCTTCCCACAGGTCACTTTGGACCTTCATTCCTCTGAGCTAAAGGCTAAGAAGTGGCTAATTCGCCTTGTTGAGGTGACTGATCCGGACCAGCAAGGGAAAAGAACTACTTCTTCACGATGCAGGGAATGAAGAGTATGTCTTGAATACAGGAGATCCCTGAGGGCATTCTTGGTATTACCATGACCTGTTAGTAGAGTCAGCGGAAAACTGCAGTGACCCAGTGCAGGTCAGGACTACTCATGGCTCAGACCCTTTAAGAATGAAGGTTTGGGTCACCTTGGCAGGTAAAGAACCGCCGCTAGCCAAGGTGTTTGGTCATGGCAGAGGAATACAGAAAGGGGGGCAGAAGGCAGTTCTCAGTACAGCTATGACCCTGTGACCAGTTATAAAAATAAAGACTGTAATTGCCATGAGTATGTCCTAATTTTGTTGTACATTTTTTTTGTATATTCAGTGTACATCTGTTGTATATCTTTGTTTCCTTCCTCTTTTAAGATTTTGTCATGTAACGTCAGATGCATGGACTTTATATCAGTATTTAAATATTGTTAATTTTATCTCTTGGTATTTAGGTTACGCAGTATCAGGAGAAGAGTAATCGATACTTGAGAACTTTATCTCTTTCTCCAGGGAAGAGAGTAGCGTGCTTTTGCTTGTTCAGGGTCTAGTTATATCATATCAGATGGAATTATGACCTTGTTTCTTCTTTGTTTGGAAATTTAGTTGAAGTGTATAGGTGCCAAGTTGGAAAAGGGTGAATGTGTTCTGGTTAATTTCATGCATCAACTTGCCTGGACTAAGAAATGCCCAGATAGCTCATAAAACATTATTTTTGCCTGTGTCTCTGAGGGTATTTCAAGAAAAAAAAATAGTGTTTGAATTAGTACACTGAGTGGAGAAGATGATATATGTGGTAGGCATGACGTAGCATAGTGAGGGCCTACATATAACAAAAAGGCAAAGGAAGGGTGAATTCATTCCCTCTGTTGGAGTGGGGACTTCCATGGTGGGTGTTGGAGCCCTCAGGGTGAACCCTTCAGGCTTGGACCGGGATTTATAACATTGACTCCTCTACTTCTCAGGCCTCTGGGCTCAGCTGTGGACTAAATTATATGACAGGCTGTCTTGGTTCTCCAGTTTGCAGATAGCAGGTCATGGGATTTCTCAGCCTCCATAGTCATGTGAGCCAGGCCATAAGATAAATGTATCCGTCTCTATCCATGTCTGTCCAATGAGCTGTGTTTCCCTAGAGAATCGCGAGTAGTACCTGTGCCTGTTCCTGGAGGTGAAGATCTGTGCGCTTGCTCCATAGTGTGAGTGTGTGGACTAGCTGGCTCCTCTGAGGAAAACCCGTGAAGCAGTATTGTGTTTCAGTTAAAATCAGACTGTGGAGGCACATTTCCTAGCTTTAAACCTGTGTGACTTTGGCAAATTATTTAAATTTCTTTATGCCTTAGATTCCTCAGATGAAAAATGGGGAAAGTAATAGTCTCCACCTTACCCTACAGCACTGTTATGAGTGTCAAATGCTTAAATACTCAGGAGACCATTTAGGGCAATGTCTGGTACAATGGACGAGCTAGATACACCTGATAATGATGCCGGTGGTGAGAGTAACTGTGAACCAGCGGGGCAGGCGGCAAGGATGGACCAGGCATGTCTGAAGGATAAACAGGCTGTCTGTCTGCCACCTGGCAAGCCTTCCTAGGAGTGTGCAGGCGCCATCAGTCCTATGAGACCCCTCTCTGTGTGAATGGAGGCAGGCAGCCATTCATTGTGTCAGGCATGGGGAGAGCAGGAAGTGCTCCCTGCAGCCAGCATGCATAGGATTTGGCAGCCTACCCGGTATGAGTCTATCTCTGGATACCATTCTGAGAAGGTCAGTTGGCACTAAGGATGATGCATCGGTCCAGACTCCTGAGCCAGCTTGACTCAGTTCATTGACCTTTTTCTGCCCATGGTTGGAAGCATGATTAAAGGCCTGGCCACACCTGCTTGTCCACCTGGCCATGCTCTCTCTTGGCCGCCCCTGAAACTCATGCAGGCACTGTGTAACCTTGGGGGAACCGGTGTACAGCAAATCCATGGGAGAGAAATGCTCAGCTTTGTCCATGAAAAATGAACACGATGAGCTCCATCCTCTGCTCTGCTATTCCAAGCCCAATCCGAGCCAGGAAATATTCTGGGTATTGGTAGAGCTTGATGTTGACATCATCCCACAGACAAGTCATCATGATATACTGAGGGAACCTGGTGAACCAGGCTGTCCTGTGAACCCCGCTGCTGGCCCAGCCATTTAACGCCAGAGAGAATAGACAGTATAAGTGGCACTTGTCATTGGAAGGTCTCGACCCACGACAGCATTTGTGGATGCTGCTTCTGATCATTTGTAGGCATTTTTCTGGTTCTTAGTCTCATGAGGATGAAAAATACCAGTTCTGTTTCTCAGACCTTGCAGAAAGACTGTCTGGCACTGCTGTAAGCATTAGGTATGGTCATTATAGGCTACCTAGCACTCAGTGAGTGTATGGACCACATGTATAACCTGAGAGATCTCAGAATAAGAAAGGGAAGACTTTTCCCTGAGGGCTGGGACTAGGAGAAGGCAGCGTGGAAAAGGTTCGTGTCCATGTCAGTGGTTACCTAGTAGGCTGCCTGGTGACTGGATGATCTGGGATGGCGTCGCTCACGTGACTGGCAGACAGTAGCTGGATGGCCTGGTGCACTGATTTTCCTCCATGTGGCCTCATCTTCCATGCAGCTGGCTTCTTCACATGGAAATTTCAGGGTGCCAAGAAG